GTTCATTGAAAATGGATTCACGGGTACGATTCTCCTGATCTTATTTCCTTGAATCCTTATATTATTACTTGGAGCCTGGACTTTAAATTAAAGCCAATATTCCTACTCTTAAAGCAATTTCTTGATACCAATGAAAAAATTGTTACTGCTGTTAAATGATCAGGCCGCTGGCTATCTAATAATAACACCCTAGAACAAAACATTCAGTTTTTGATAGGTGAGGGGGTTCCTGTTAAACTTATATGATATCTGCTCACTGCTCAACCAAGAGCTGTGTTGCAAAGCCTTTATAGAATTGCTTATGCCGTGAAAACTGTCAAAGACACTGGTCTTAAACCGGATGCTTTTAGCTTTATACATTTGCTTCGAGTGGTGATTCAATTGACTGAGTCGAAGTTGAAGAAGAAACTGGAAGTGTTTAAGAGCTTGGGATGGAGTGATGAGTAGCTCTTGAATACTATTAAGAATTATCCTATTTGCTTGTCTTATTCAGAGGTGAATCTGAGGACTAAAATGGAATTTTATTTGAATACCATGAAGTTCGAAAGAGAGGCTGTAATTGCCACGCCCGTGTTAATGATGTTATCTCTTGATAACAGGATTCGTCCAAGATATGAAGTTATGAATATTTTGGGTTCAAAGAAGTTGGTTAAAGATGGCCTGAAGATGATATGGGTGATGGAAATAAGTGAAGAGCGATTCTTGAAGATTTATGTTACAAAGCATGTTGACAAAGTACCAGGTTTGTTGGATATGTATTGCAGCATCATCAACCAAAGAAAGAAAACAGACAGGGCAAAACAGCTGGCTAGTTGATTACAGAAGGGTAAGTTTTGATTCTATCTCTAATTTGAAAGAATTGTTGGTTCCTGTTGCTATGTTTCCTGTTGCTATGTTATCTATGTTGACATTTTGAGCCCCGAATGATGGGGTCGGTTTGTCATTTAAAGAGACAACTATGGTTAGCTTATAACACAAGCCTGATTTGTGAAAAATATAATGACGACTATGGTTTTCCTACATTTGCAGGTCTTCCCCTGTTTTAATTGACTGCTGCTACTGTTGATGGTTGCATCAAAGTAGAACTTAAACTAGGCTTTAATTTTATTTCTATCCCATGTAAAGTTGCTCATGATGCAACTTCCAAAAGGTTGGTGAACTGTTGACTTCAAGAAACCAGGGATGGCTGCAGAAAAAGTTATCAAGGAGTGTGAGGCAGAACTTCTCCATGCTGCTCACAACCTCCATTTTCTCTTTGGTTCATTACACTTTTGCCAGACCGCTTTCAAAGTGAAGAAATGTCTTCAGCCTTGGCTAAGGTGGGTGGAGAGAACTGACCGACTTTAACCCAAGGTCTGTTCTTGGAAGATTCCAATTTGTTAAAACCATACGTTTTTGAATTTTGATGTGTAGTTTACCCTATTGAGGTTTCTTCTTTTGACATCTTGAACATTGTTTTCACATTGAAGTTATAGAGCTAAATTGTCAATTGATTTGCATTGTCTTTTACTTTATGTTGAGTTATCTATTCCATCTTTAGGTTAACCAAAATGATTGTTTGCTCTTTTGTGGATTGCCTTGTTGGAGAAGGCCCAAAAAATTTTTTTTTGCTTTTTTTTTTTTTTTAAGTACATCTTATAATGGGAGATATAAGGGAGAATAGTCCTCCCAATTTGCTAAATCCTTTCCCACCAAACAACTTAGAATTTCAGGTTTTTAAATAGTTGAATTATTCCTTTAAAGCACCTTATTATAGGAGAAAACCACAAGAAAACTTAGAAACTTTTTGCAATGCAAGGCGAAGGGTAAGGGTATGAAACTATCTCATTAATCTATTGGGCAAGGGTTGAATTACTTATGAGACTGTACCAGTACTAGCTTGAAGCATTTATATTCCTTGAATGAGTAGCGTTTCAAGTGCAAAGCTCTACCACTTAAACAGAGGAGTACATATCCTTGAGGAGCCACCGAAGAGTATCATTCCATTTATGACAGCTGATATATTAGGCGTTTGAAAGCCTAGGGCCATTAGACCAATTCCGTGAGCTTTCGCACTGCCCTTTGTACCAAAAGGGTATAAGTTTTCGTTTCCTTTTTTTATGAACGAAAGTTAAATTAAGTTTTCGTTTCCTTAATAAGACATTGACATTATGTCTCGTTAAATGGATATGGCAATCTGTGCATTGATCTGTCAAAATTTAAATGATGTCAAGTTTGCATTTTAATGGTATAGAAACAATGACATTATGTCATGAGATAAACTGCGTCTTGATTATTGACCAAGCAATAATCAAGACAGGTTCCACCAAGAAAAGTTTCAGGAGCTTGAAAGTGCAATTCAGAACAACACTTGACACAA